CTTTATGTACATCAAAAGCCTGGGGTCCTAATTAGATTAAGATATATTCCATGCTTCTATATGATATCAAAATGGGCTCTACTCTCATGAATAACTAAAAAGAAGCCATAAAAAACATAATAAAAATGACACTTTAATTTGCATGTTTAAGTTAACAATCCAGGGGATTCGGTTTGTGGCTCAGTGGTAGAGCATTTGCCTTGCATGTACAAGACCCTGGGTTTGATCCTCAGCACCACATAAAAATAAATAAGTGAAATAGAGGCATTATGTCCAACTACAACTAAAAAAAATATTTAAAAAAAGATAACCCAGGTTTGAGTTAGACTTGTTCCCTATGAAAACCCCCAGAGAGAGATCCATGTGCTAGTAACTTATGAAAGACTTATTCCCATCAGAAAGAGGTAATGAAGTCAAGGAAGTCAGGTACACAAGGCAAAAAAGTCTAGAAAGTATAGAATTTAAGAGAAGGTAGCATGTGTCTGAAAGATGCTCTTCATAGGGTTGGGATCCTAATGTGACTGGGCTTCCCTGCGGCAGTTATCAAGAATATTAAGAGAGCAGGCATGAGGACAGAGCAGATTTCAGAATGTAATCAGGAAATGTAGATGGAAGGGCAGGTCAGGGATACAAGGCCATGGGAAATACAGATAAGACCAAACAGAGGCTCCATCTGCTGTTGGAGACAAGCACAGGTGAAGAGAAATCACTGCAGAAGTAGGAGATACAATCTTATAGAGTTAAAAGGAGTCAAGTGCATTCCAGAGCCAACATACCTGAAGCCTGAAGGCCAGGGAATCTGCATGCTAGTTTCCTCTTGCTCATCAGAATTTTTCTTGTAATTATCTTTTGTTTGCAGACACCTGTGGCATCATTGAGGACATGCTCTGTAAGTATGAGCAAATAAGACAGGATTTGTAAAATCCAATAGCACCTAGATGTATTTGCAAACACTAGAAAATCAGAGTGGAGGTATGTTGTGCTTTGGGGAAGAAAGAGATAATAAAAATCAAGCAAAATCAAAGGAGAAACACATTATTAAAGAAAGGAAAACTCATCCTAAGGAATTTAAAAATATGCATAATGTTATACTGCATGTATACCCATTATATTTGATAAAGCACATATATAAACAATGTGTAATACACACAAGAGGGACCTCTATATTTATCTGATGGACAACTGCTCCTTTGGGCTCTTGACTCCACCTGTGCATGGGAAATTTGCATCTATGATATTTATTGGCTCACATGTCCACTCAAAGGCCCTTGGGCCTTCTCTGAGGAAGTTGAAAGAAGAAGAGGGTTCAGTAACAATCCCAATTCTCCCTTTGCTAACCACTCCTAAAAACTCATTTCTTATGTCCCTGCCAATTGACCCAACCTAGCAACCCAGGCACAGTGACAGAAATCATGTGTCCAATGGACATGTCATCTTTTGTACATGTGCCTAGTTATTCTTGGGTGGGTGGTGCCCATACAAAAGGTCCTAAAATAAAGTAATCCAATTGACAAAGAGGGCTTTGAAGTAACAATGTGTTCATGTTTATTATCCAAATATAATTAATCTTAGTCACTATTTCTGGAGAGAACATTCTACAGAGACACCAGGGCATGGGACAAAAAAAGAAATTTATTGATCTTGAT